GCCTATCTGGCGCAGAAGGTGAATTGCAGGTCACAGCAAAGATAGGAATCAAAAAGGTTTAAGCTGAATTTCCAAAGTACATCTGTTGGATCTGTCTTTGTTAGGACAAGCCTGTCACCTTCAGCTTTGTTTTTGATCAGGGGGATTTTTGCAACGCGCAGGCTAGGCAAGATTCACGCCGCTACATTCAGGTGTCGGCTGTGCTCCCCTCCCCGGCATCCCCCCTCCGTCAGCGGAGCCGAACCAGCGGTGTCGTGACGCCCGTTTGCAATGCCCACTTCAGACTGAGGCAAATCCTGCTCCTGACTCCGCTGATCACAGAGGCTGCCCAGGAGGCTATAACCATCCGTGCTGTAAATAATTGCATTTAATCAGATGGATCCCCCCAACTCCGTAAGCTCATGGCAGGGGGATCCAAACTTCACTCTTACACCCCAGCTATGCACTCCCCTGAAGATGAACTACATTTCTAAGACTTTCTTGCATTAAAATCCAGGCTGCAACAGCATTTTCAGCCATTGAATTAACAACAGCATTAGAGCAACGCAGTGCCGGAGGTCCAGGGCTGCAGCACAACTGAAACACCCAGACGAGTTAAAAATAAAACATAAGGTTTCAGTGCCTGAACACCTTCCTTGCACTTGCTATTTTCTGCCTGACAGCACCCTCTTCTGGGAAGCGGGTGCTGCTCGCTGAAGGGTGCACCCCGCTCAGCTCGCATCAGCTCCTCAGTGCCTGAGCACCAGCAAGCAAAGGACAGAGCCCTCCCGGCGTGAATTCAAGCAGAGTGGCACTAGACAGTCTCTTATGAGCTATTTTTTGCAGTTCCCTTTGAAGGAGTTTGAAGATCGTTGCATGATAAAGTGTTGGTCAAAGTCACAACGTCCGGTTATTTGGTACCCACTAGCTGATGGGGGCAGCTCCCAGCAGCCAGGAATCAGCACAGGCACTGGTAAAGGCTGGCAAATTGCTGCTTTGCATTGCTGGAGCAGCAGGTAAAATCTGCACCGTCCTAATTTTTAATTAAGTATGTCCTCAGACACGTCTCAGCTTTTTTATTTGTTTGCTTAAAACACAGGTGAACAAGCACCTTTTTGCAAATCACATGCATATTAGTCAGGACAAGAGCACGCATGTTCAGCTGGCTACATCTCATGGTGACACGGGCTGTGAGCTCAGAAGGGGATGAGCAGCTCAGCTGCCCGGGGACGCCAGGCAGGGCCGGGGCAGCCACCATCAGCATCCGTCTGGCTGGGCTCCAGACTGCACCTCCTCCAAAATCGTCCTCATCCCTTATCCTCTGCAACGGCAGGAGCGCCTCGCTTGTGGCTGGCGTGGGTCAGGCCTCCATTTGAACAGATTTAACGTAGTGCGGCTGGTTCCATGGCTTGTTTGTATTTTAAATAACAAGGTTTTTAACTACAAACCACACGCAGGGTTTACCTGTGTCCTGGGCTAACGGTCCCCTTTGAAGGCCAAGCAGTGAAGTTGAGACACAATTTGCTAACGAGTTCCCTGGTGACGGTTTCCCACTCATGGCTGTGAACTTTTGTCTGTTCTTACATTAAGGAAATAGCACTGCTGCATTTGCTAGCAGTGTGGAGGTGTTTAATTACCTTTTTCAAGGATAGAGAGCAGGAGGGAGATGGACAAAGAACAGTTGATCTGAGTTTCCAGCCACTGCTCAAAAGGCAATGGTGGGCAGCAGGAGGGGCTGGGAGGGACCAGGTCTGACACCTGCTTGGAAGCAGGCAGGTCCCTCGATGCAGCCAAAAACTCAGGTCATTTCAGGATCCACTCGGATCCTCCGAAACGGGGACACCCCAAAGCACTGATCACTTTGGAAGCCCTGCCTGCCCTTCTGTATTCCTCTCCCTGCCCACGGGCTGCTGGCAGGGTTTGTACAGCGCCTGGCACGCAGGCACCTTGGCTTGTCTAGTCTGTGTTTCGCTCAAATTAATAACCAGGCTTAATTTATGATATTAGCTCTGTGCATCTTGGAGCATTTGCCAAAGATGACGACCCTCGCCTGCCCCAGCACAGGAGAAACTGAGGCTAAGAAAGCCTCCTAGCAGGGATCCACAGGCGCACATCTCCACAGCTTACACGTTGCAGGTACTCAGAGCAGCCCCAGGTCAAAGAAACACCCTGGTGTGTTCGCCCTGCTCCAGGTCAGGCACCTCTTTCCATTAGCCCCTTTCAGGCACAAGGCAGACCCATAAAACTGCCAGTTTTAACTCAAGGATGCAGTTTGAGGAGGAAAAGGACAATTGAAAGCGGTGACCGCACACCTACTGTCGCCACCAGGATGAATTCATGCAACCAAGCCCAGCAAAGCAAAACAAAATCAGCAGCATGGTGATTTATGGGCATGGTGAAACCACCACCCTCCCCGCCTGGGTCTGCCTCTCCCTCTCCAATGCCCCCGATCCATCTGCTTCTGCAGAAGTTTAGCTAAAATTAAAGGAAGTGACTCAGAAACGTTCACTAATTACTGTTTGCCTGCCGATCTGGAAAGGTATCAGCCGCTAGCGCAGAGAAAGCAGCTTCCAGTCACACGAATCAATTGATGTTTTCAAGCATCCTCTTCTGCATTCCTTTTTTTAAAGCCTTTCTTGCTGAGTATCAGTCCTGCTTATGCAAGGCTCTAATGCAGCTAAAGCTTCTTAGAAGAGGTTTATGGACCTGCGGCTGACAGAGTCAGCAGTGGCAGATGTCTTATTTACACCAGGGCTGAAGAAAGGTGGGGATCAGGCCTCAGATTTGGTTATTAGGGACAGAGGGTCAAGGGCAGGCAGGTAAATTGCATCTTGCAGCTACACTGCTCAGGTTCTTCCCATCGAAATACCAACTTCGCTTCTCCTCACTGGGATCAGAGCCTCTCGAGCATCCAATTTATTTCATATCTAAGGCTCTGTGATTCGAAGGAATTTATTATTAGTTATTATTTTGGCTAAAGCTCTCAGGTCAACATTTGATTTCACTGCGCAGCATTGTCTGCAGTCGTGTTTTAAAGAGAGCTCTTGCAGACGTGCAGAAGACTCAGCCAGTGCAACGATTTCCAGCTCAGCTTCCCCTGCAGCCACGTGGCGGTGGCAGAAGCAGAAATGGAGCCCTGTACAAGTCACTCCTGGGAGCCAGCCGCAGGCGGATGGGCAGGGAGAGGGCACAGCTGAAAGCCATGCCTGCTGCCAGGGCTCCTCGAAGCTGCACGGTGCCCGCTCTGCCAGCCCCGGACATCACCTGTCATTGCAGATCTCCAGTCAGCCACGTCCAGCACAGTGCTAGAGTTCATGTTTTCTAACCTGTCTTTAAATGAATGTTTTAAACCCAAGCAAAAGCTTGGCGGAGGATGCTTCCCTACCCTCTGAAGGAGGGGTTTCTAGCCCAGGGATAGAAATCCCTGTGACGGCAGTACCAGAGCCCTCTCCAAAGGCTGGAGGAGAGCCGAGTAAGCTGAGAAGAAATGACATGGAAGGAGACAAGACCTTGCCGCTCCGCTTCTCAGTGGGATGAGAGCCTGAAGCACAAGTAGGTGTGAGGCCTCCCTTAACTGGCCTGGGTCAGGCAGTGCTCCCCAAACACTAAGGTGCCGTTCCCACCTCCAGCTGCAGTAAGACACTGTCAGCACATGGGTTTGAATTTCTCCAGTGCCCGGGGAAGTCAAAGGGTACCTGGCTCTTTTCCCACCTGCTTAGGGCAATCTCCAGTTTCAGTCCTTGCTGCCAGAAGACATTTCATGAAAAAGCGACCCTTCCAGCACTCGCTCCTAGCTGCTCGCTCCCTCAGCCAAGCAAACCAACCCTGCCAAGCAAAAGCAAGAACAGTTAACAGGATTTTCCACCCCTTCTCTGCTCTGCTGCGTGCAAATGCTCCTAATTCTGCAGAAACAGGTATCAAGCACCTGCAGCCAAAAGAAAGCGCTGAACCCATCTCTTAAGGTAGCTGCTTGAAGCACTGTGCAATGGTTAAAGGAAGACTGACACCCTGATCATCGCCTTCATAAACACGAGGCCAAGCAACCAGTACCGTCTTGCACAAGAGTCCGAGGTGATCTGAACCCAAATGAAAGGGTGTATGGCCCCCAACTCCTTGAGGGGCTGTAATAAACCTGTGAAACACACAGCCATAAGCAGGGAGCGTGGGGGGGCGGAAAAAAGACATTTCTGAAGAAAGTACAAGGCTGCACGAACACAGAAGAAGCAGGCATATATAATGGCGTTTTTATTTGTAACACCTTTAACTTGGACTGCAATTATTTCAGTTTTTAAAGTTAAATTCGGGCAGCAATTGAGGAAAAAAACCAAATAGTCCCTGTATGCACAAACAATGCAGCTTTGAATAATACATGATAAGTTTATTTCATATTAACATGAACAGTAAAAAGTGGACATTTGACGGGATTTTACTTCAGGTCCTTTTCTTTATTCCTCTATTGTGTCCTTTTTGCCAGTCTCTTGTCCCTCAAATTGTGGATACTTTGCCTCAACATCAGCCCAAGTTAGATAACCGTTCGCCAGGTCACGAATGATGGCAGGAAGTTCAGAGATCTGCAAGCAAAGTCACAAAGACATATGAAACACGAAGCCATCAGAATCAAGTTGCTCTGTTGGATACTTGGGGAACATGGGTAATTTTTTACACAGAGCAGGTGCAAGATATCTTCCTGCATGATCATTTTTGGGGAGAAAAAACATTAACTAGGAGGACATCTTAAATCCCAGTCTGTGTCATCTCGGCAGACTGCTCAGTTATTCAGGGTGACCCATGAGGGAAATGCCACTGTCACTGTGGTGGACCACAGCAAGGTTCATCCCTGGTAGTGTTATGCTACGGTTTTGGAAGGGAAAGAAAATAATACACACATCCAGAAGATGTTGTAAGCCAGGATTTAGCCAGGCCCTATTTACTGTAAGACCAACATAAAAGAAGCTGCCAATTGCCTTTTCTTTGCTCCTCATAGCACACTGTCATGGTGCAAAGGATCAGCTAGAGAAACTAGAAAATTTGCAGAAATTGAAGGGTAACAAAGTTTCGTCTCTGCTGCTCGGCAGTGAGAGGTCATCCAGGTGCTACAGAGACAGATGGGTGCCCTGAAGAGCTGGCACTGCCTGTTACACTGAAGCAAACCCACAGCCACCTCAGTAGCCCCAAGCAGTACAGGTGCTTCCGTACAGAGCGGAGCTAGAACAACTCAGCCTCACACATCAGCACTAACTCCTGCTCCTACAGGAGGCAAACCACGTTCCTGGGAGAGAAGAGCACGACAGAGGTGCCGAGACTGCATGTCCACAGCTCTGAGCAGGTTCTGCTCACAGGTGATGAGACCACCATGGGGAGGTTTGCTATTCCGGTCTCTGTATTATGGCCGTACTAGCAGAGGATGCTTAGGGCAGGTGTGGCTTTTGGGCAATGGTTCACCAGCTTCACTGGTGCTGCACAGGCAACACCGGCAAGAAGCAAGCTTTGAGGAGTTATGTCTCTGCTGTGCTCTGCCAGCCAGCCCATAGTAGGCAAAGATCTTCTCTGAATCCACAGGCACCAAAATGCAGAAGCCCTGCCTTTGAAAGCCAGGCACAACCCAGCAAATGCATTTATTCAGCCGCCTTCACTCGGAAAAAGGCACCCTAAAGAGCAGTGCAATCAGCACAAGGCATAGCTTTCAAGTAAGATCAACACCTCTGCATCCCAGGAAAATAAAAGCCTCTCCTCACTTCAGCAGCAGGGCCGGCATCTTCTGTTTGACCAGTATCTCTTCCCTGGGGATTTCTCAGAATAGCTAAATTGCCTACGAGAGCTGGAGGCAGCTCCCACATAGACCAGTCATTGCTGGATCAGGAATCCAGCAAAATGGATCACTGCTCTCAGCTGGAGAGCAGCTAATGCTCTCCCCTAGCCCGCAAGAAACAGACTTGGCTCTGTCAGCCACCAAACCCGCCTGCCTGCCCTTTACCTCAGCTCGGATCTGGCGCATCGAGTCGCGGTCTCTTAGGGTGGCAGTGTGAGGCGTCCGGTTAACGGTGTCAAAGTCGATCGTGATCCCGAAGGCCACACCAATCTCGTCAGTCCTGGCATAGCGCCGGCCAATGGATCCAGAGGAATCATCCACCTTGTGAGAGATGCCGTTCCTGGTGAGTGCTTCAGCTGCAAGACGTAGAGAAGGGGGGATCACCAGGACTTGTTACATACTCAGCAGGCAACACGATCCTAGCAGTGGCCTCCCACATCCTCACGGCGCTACCTGAAGTGAGGCACCATGCGTCCTGGTTTCAAGCAGCTTCAGAGACACTCATTTTTATTTTGACAGAAGATCCAATGTTCCAGTCCTTGCCAAGACTACAAGCTCACACCCACCCCACAGGTACACCGCTACTCTCACAGCTCTCCACATTGCATCACTCGACTCTCACCCAAAGAGCAAAGTCACCGACTTCTTTAACCTGTCATTACAGTCCCACAACTCTGCTTTAACTCAAAAACACGCCAGCCTTACATGTGTGCAGGGGCATGCCCAGCATGGGGAGGCAATGTCCGCAGCAGAACTGATGCCAACAGCAAAAGGCACTGTCTGACATGCAGCCTATGTTCTTATCCTTCACATATTCACTTTTAGATGGTATCAGTGGGCATTTTGACAGAATGCTTGGAGGCTCAGCAGCTCTGGGACCAATTCAATAAATTAGCTGGCCAACAAGAGCAAAGAGAAGAAATTTATTCAAAAAAAAAAAAAAAAACAAAAAAACCCACCCCATTGCTCCTGACACCTTCTGCTAAGCAGTGGGAAAGATTTCTTTTTGACACAGAAGGAAAAAAAGAAATGTCTTTTACACTGCAAACCAACACATGGAAGGGCAGGGAGTTGGGGTTTTGAGGCTAGACTGAAAAGTTTGGTAGATACCCAAAGCTGACTGATACCAACCAACTCAGCTGTTTAGTTCGATGGCTCTCCCTTTGCATGTGTGAGAGCCATGTGATCCCAATGCTATTTTCTCCCTGTAGCACTGAGGAAGAAACCTCTCTTCCCAGTTCACATCCCCACTGGAGCCACAGTGCTTAATACACTTACATAATTCCTTGACAAAAGGCATGAATTCCTGATTCTGGCTTAGAGGAAGAACAGAGCACTTGAACGGTGCTACAACAGCTGGGAAGCTGAAGAACTAAGGAAAAAAGAAAAAGCACAAATAAATAGAAGTTTAATGGTTAGGCCAGATTCTTAGGAGGTCAGAATAAGCTCTGACTGAGGTTGGAGGCAGGGTGACTATTCCAGGGGAGTAGCTGGCCTTCTGTAAGACATTAGCATTCAGGGCTCCAGCAGTAACACCTCACACCGCTGAAGCAAGACTGATTTTCTCCAGCTGTTTTCCACTCCCCCTTCCCTCCTGACAGCTAAACGTTGGCCCACCAAAAGAGGTCTAACCAGAGCCCTCCCTCAAGAAAGTAAACCTCATTTGAATTACAGAAAAATGAAGGGTAGAGGGGTCTTTCCAGGAGATTTAGTCTTATGCACCGTCTAAAGGGAAGACTTCTCACAATCATCTCGCTCCCTGTTTGATTCCCACAGAGACTCCACACACATGAGCCTCCACACACAGAGAGCATATGCAGCTCAAAGGTTTCAGAACCCTCCGCAGACACCCTCAGAAAAGAAAAATGTGCCAAAAGGGGGCGGGGGGGGGCAGAATCTTTCCTGGCATTCAGCAAGGCCTGTAAGGGTACGGAAGTAATGCAACTGAGACGTACCACAATACAGAGCAGCCTAGGCTGCATAGAAAGTAAATGGGTACTAGAAGGAAGATAAGTCCAATATTTTCGACTTCAGGAGCAGTTTCTGATTGAAAGTCAACCGTGCCCTAACTCTGGGCTCTTGAATCCTCTTCCCCCCACTCACAACTGTATCACATCCTGTGGCAACCAGAGGCACTAAAGAGCGCTGTTATTCTCCTTTTCTATAAACACAGTCTAGCAGCCAGAAACAACGAACAGGAACCAGCATCAAGTTTACAGTCAGCTTCCCATGGGCCACCAGCAATGGTGCAGAACATCACAGTTTGGGCACTGGCTGGAACAGGCTGGCGGCCTGTATGTAACACACACTTCCCTCTGGCCCCTGCTACAGCAAAGTTTCGGGCCAAGATTTTAGGGATGCCCAGAATCAGAGAAGGTTGAATTTCATGGGGGACTGAGGAAACAGTTAGTCTATTGTCCATCTTGCTGCATAGAACTATGATTCCAGGAAAAGCAGCAAAGAGAGAGGAAATAAAACACTGAAGAGATGCCTTTCTCTGAGTGATGGGACATTGCCAAGTGTGAATCCAGAAGGAGGAATTTCTCACCCCCTTGCTAGTAATACAGTGAGAGCTTCATGCACACACAGCCCCAGAATGCTCTCAGTGCGCATGTATAAATGAGACGTACGCTGGCAAAAACAGCAATTCAACAGCCCACCTGGGTTTTCCCATCTCTACTGTGTATTGTGCAGTCTTATTTTAGTCCTTTCCCTGGATGTTAGGGAAAGGCAAATGCTTGCAGCTGGTTTTAAGCTGAGGCCCAGCCACAGGAAAGCTCACCGTTCTCTGCTCGTCTCCTTCCCGGATGTGGAATGTGTGTTCAAACACTGTGTACATGATCCTCCCAATACCAAATGAGGGTTCAATTACATTTGGGATGATTTCTTCCACTGGAATACAAAAGAACCCACGTCATCATTAAAGAAGAATTTATACACAAAAAAAAGATGTGTTTACTGAAGCTGTCTTTCTGCTCAGAAGTTCTGATTACATGTAGCTGAGCACAAGGAAATAAAAGGTTAAACATTTCTGCTCTAAATACAAATACCTGAAGTAGAGATTTGGACTTAGTCCGCACACAGAACGTATTTACGCTGTAAATAACAAGTCAATGCCCCTTCTCTGGCCCTGAGAGCAAATAGCACAGCACAACTTGCATCCACACAGATAAACCCTCTTCCACTTCACAACAGCGAAGCCTCATCCAAACTGTTCACTGGGAACAGTCCTCACTCCACACCAAGCCACAAACTATGTCCAGGCATTCTCTGGGAGAGTGCTATTTGGCATAGACCAAAACTGTACCAGGGAATATGCTAGCAATTAAACAGCCTGGACGATGGCAGGGTAATGTTCAATCCCTGGCCCACTTCAGTTTAATGTACAGACACAGCCTCAGTATCCAGCAGTCTGAGCAGAGAAGCATGAAGCTTCAGATCCAACTCAAATTCCAGCAAAGACTCCCTCCGTATTCTTGAGTCATTCAGCTGCCTGCTTCAATGCTGCTCCCCTCCCTATTCTCCATCGCCCTGCAATGAATCACAAGAGTGGGAAAGAACGAGGATCAACTAGTCAGTGCTCGTGAGACTTCTCAGGAGACGTGATGTGCTACATTATTATATACCCATCATTCTCTCCAGTCCTTGCCACGCATTTGTCAAAGAGGCTTTTTCCTTCTTCTCCCCTCTGTATACAGAAGGAGCTCAGTGGACAGCTGCCCTGTTCAGACAGTGCAGCTTTTTAAAAAAACCCCAGATAGCAACTGGAGAAGAAACAACAATTATAAGCATCAGCTGCTTTTTGAAAATCCAGCTCTCCAGCACTGCACCCTGACTTGCCTCCCACTCTATGTGCCTAGAGAGCCAATCCTCCTCAATTAAGCACCTAACCCAGGGTGGGACTTTACCTTCCAAAAGGATGGTCTCGTTTTATTTGTGCATTGACCAACCAGTTTTCAAGATGAGAGAGAGGGAAACCATAAGCTTTGGCTCCTGCTTGCAGACAGCAGCCAAACTGCCAAATGTACAAATTTAAAGGAAAACGAGCCACTGCTGTTCTACTTGCTGGCCCCCAGCAATACTACAATCACTAACAGTTACAACTCCGATCCCTTCTTTGAAGTTGTGACAAAGCAAAGTCTGGCACAGCAGCAGCACATGCTGACCGAAAAACACCTGGACATCAAAAAGGCTCAGCAGCTGCAAGAACAAATACATTCTGCACATGCTACAAGTTGCTCTACTCCTTCCTAGGAGCATTTACCATGTTCCCAACCTAGGGCAGGATGACCCACTAGTTACAGTATGAACTGGGGAAAAATCTACCTCAGTCTCCAGCTCTGTCAAAGACTTCCCAAACGACCTTGGGTGAGGCGCTTACAGAGCTGGCTGGAAAGACAAGACTTCTTTGAGGAACTAAATCCATGCATTCTGGAAAGCTACCTTCTAGCCCCATTTCCCACATTAGGATAAAAGCTCTGTGGAGATGCAGTCGCTGAGCAAAGCTGATGTGATTATCGACTACCAGAGGAACTGGCTGGACTTGCCAGCTTAAAGACCCCTGTCAGCACGGCAGCCTGGCAAGCTGGCAGATGCTGGAAGACTTGACTCCAGGCAGTGGAGGGACAACAGGAGCTCTGAGCACAGAGATCTGCCTATAGCCCTACCAACAGACTGCCACAACCCACCTGCTGCACTGCAATGGACTTGAAGATGAAAGCTCCCAAAGCTGGTGCACCTTCCCCAGCTCCTCTATCACTACAGCAGCTGGTTCTTAGCACCACGTGGGATCTTACAAATCCTAGAATATGCAACTGAGGCAGCATGAATGTAATACGCCCCCCAAAGTCTATTAAATGGGTTACTGAACAGACCAGGTAAGAAGCAGGCAGACAGGCCTGCATCAATGATCACTGAAATCCCACTGCTGTCTGAAAGCTTTCCAACTCTCTCAAATTGTCAAATTTCAAGGAGATAACATTTGGCATTTTTCCTATGCCACTGTGCAATACTAACAGGAAAATGCAACTAATAAAGTTCACATTCAAGGTGTATCCTGATCTGCCTCTTATTTTTGATGATCAAACAATAAATATACAAATTTACCATGTAATGTTTTCTGAAATCTCTTCACAGTAACCATGTCCTCTGTTAATTTAAAAGTTTTCCCTTCAGTTTCAACAGTGAATTCCCTGCAAAGGAAAAAGAAGTCACTTAAAAGCTACAGCAACAAATAAACAAGTTATATTTCCTTAATTCCGTCGGTTGGTTGACTTTAAGAGTGGGACAACAGAAGCCAGGGCAAATCCCACATATCAAAGAAACATGTGGCATGCCCATTAAAAGAAATTTACGTTAATAATAAAATTCCTACATCTACATTAAAAGCAACCATATTCATAATCACAGTGAACTTAGTTGTGGTTAACAGCCTGAAGCAAACTCAATTAGGAAATGGAAGAATCTCAGGATGAAGCATATACACCAAAAGAAAAAGAAGGGAGGCACACAAAACAGGCACTCGCTGCAGACCATACATCTTGTCGAGTGCATGGACTTCTCATGAAAACTGGGTTGTGTCAGAAGGCACCGTGCATTTTCAGAGATACCAAACAGGAGGATACAGCACAGTTATTTTATTGCTTATTTCTAAAGCTTTTGGTATTATGGTCTTCTAACTACTTTCTCTTGCTCCTTGCTATCTTGCAACTAGCACACACTCCTTGCCAAGGAGAACTTAGGCTGTATTGACCTATGCCACTGACAGGAAGCAAATGTCTTTATTATTACGCGTCTAACAGAAAACTGCTGCTGTAAACCCGAGGGCTTCACATCATGGATTTATACAAACATGGTTGTATGAAAGGCAGGTCTAACATACTGACACTGTCAACATGTACTCAGCAATGGTACCCTCCTTGCTGAAGCATTCAGACTGGTGTAATACAAAAACCAGCATGTTCAAGACAAGTGTGTCCTGCATTTGGACCTGATACCAGATGGGCTGAAGTTTATAAAGGCTTTCCTCTGAATGCAGCTACAACTGGATGCTGGGCTTAAACACGGTCATGATTTGCAGTCCACTATCCATTCAAACCTACTTATAACTCATCTATTGGATTATTTCAGTGGGATTCTGGATGAACTAACTTCACTTTCTTCTGATTTTGAAGTGTGCACATATCACCGTATTCTGCAATAGTTTCTCTCCCCATTTTGAGTGCTACTGTTTTTTCTACGCTTTCAGATTCATAGAAATGTAAAAGAAATAAATCTTAGCTCAGGGGAAAAAAAGAAAAACAAACAAACAAAGATGTAAATGTTACCATTCTGGAATGTATTCATTGATCCTACACCTTGTACCATTTCAAGCAGGAAATAAAGTTTATTTTTTATTATTGCACCATTAACCTTCTCATAACATATACAACTGTTGGCCTGCTTCAGCCAAATTTGACAACTGTAGAAATCTCTTATATTTTCAACTCCTGCATGTGTTAGGAATACAGGCAGACAGGTTGAGGAAAAACATATAAACTGCTGCCCCAATAATTCAAAGATTGTAACAGGTCCTAAAGCTTATCACTAAACACTGGAGGATACTCACACAAGTTTTGGTTCTCATTTAACTATTTTGTTCCATCACTCACAGAATTATTTGATTAATTTTAAAATTAAATTCAAAACCGTCTGCCAGTCCTGGTCAATTCTCAAACCAGAGTAGGGAAGCTGGTAAACACTTCCCATTTCACTGAGGTGTCTCTCTTATGGGATGATCCTACTAAAGCCAGAAGCTCATTCCCACGCAAATAAACAAATATTTGAATAGTTACACATTTTTGTGCATATATCAAGAGATATGTTGATGGATGACCAGCAATGACTTGGCAGAAGGGACAGCACTAAAACATTTCAGATGATCCACTCAGCCTATTCTCAGGAGGAAACTGGTTTCAGGTGGCTCAAATTAATCCAGCAGCACTTTGGGAACCCTCATCAGAGGTGTCAGAGAAGGGTACCACACACACACTGCCAGCTCACCCTTTCTCGTTGAGCAGCTGCTCCATCTCAGTGATGTAGCACTCATCACACATGGAAAGGTATTCCATCACCACCTTTGCATCCTTCTTATAAGCTTTGCCAATGGCTCCCTTATTTGCCTCAAACTGAACAATGTTGACTGTCCTGTACAAGGCAGTTAAGGAGTTTCAGGTGACAGAAAGCAGGGCCTGGTTCTTTTGCTATGTCAAAGCTAATTGCTACACAACACAAAGAAATCTCCTCTGCTACTGGATTAAGGAACTTCCCTTCAAGAGAGGAAAGGAACAATAAAAAATACTGAAGGGCAGAAGGTCACAAGTTTTGAAAGAATACATCTTTTTTTTAACAAGTACAGCTAGCAGCAGAAGCATAGAATGACATGGAGTGACCTGGGATAGTAACCCCACATTCACATTTAAACCATGCTTCACAGTCAAAACACAGCCTAGCATTAAGCTAGAAAAAAACAAGCACAATAGTAAATCCCCTTTGCCCACCTGAGTAAAGTGACCCACATGCTCAATTCTTTGCAGGTTACTTCCCAAAGTCATGCTGGTCTGTAGCTCTAGGTTTCCCTGTTAAATTTACAGATGTAACTTAAAATAGAGCTGCACGGCTCTCCAAGACATCTCACTGTCAAATCACTTTTCACTTCAAGAGAATGCAGTTTGTTTTGAAAGGATATAGGTTCTTTGAGAGGCTTCTCAGCTATAAGAGGAACTTTGGTGGCACGGGCATGGCAGGAGAGGTCATAGCAGGAACGATCAGCACAGCCAACAATCTCAATCCAACCCTGAAAAAACAAAAGTGGAAGCTCTCACCAACTCACTTTTTTGTCCACTTAACCATCAAACATGTTTATTCACCCTTAAGCCCTCCCTGCTCCCATGACTGTTTTTTCTACATAATTAGCTCTGTTACAAAAAGCAGTCCTCACTCACTAGCTGCTCCTTCATTTGAATGATTCCATTTGTTTCCAGAGGAAATGATCAGTTATCTAACCACTGCCTGTGTTCAGGGCCAGGTTTTCCGCATGGCTTGGCAGAACACAGCACTGTGCCAATAGCTTGGGGCTGGGGCCACAGCACACAGTCCTATCATTCACATACTATAGGTGCACGAAGACATCATCCCTTCGAGGTTTAGCACTCCGTAAGTACGGAATAGAGAGCAGGCAACCAGCCACATTAGAATGGCCAGAAGTCTGGCTTATGAGCTAGTAAGACACAGATCATATGCAAGGGAAGCACTTCTTTCAACATTTCAGCATGTATGGCAAGAAGGAATCTCAGAACACCATTCACACACACAGAACTGATGAAGCCTTCCAACACTTGCAGCAAATCCAACCACCACCTGGATTTTCTAAAAGACAATCCCATATAAGAAGAGGCACATCAGCTGCTTTCCATTCACTCCGTCACATCAGCATAGACATACAGGCAGCGAGATGCTGTGTGGTTTTCCAGTCTGCAGCAATATAGCAGGGTGTCAGGAAAGGTATGTGAATAGAAGAAATCCCTGTGCTCGAAAAACTACGGTGTTCCAGAACATCTTGGGGAATTTTTACACAAATTAAACCATTAGGATACTACGACTACTTCTCAGAAGGTTTATGTAGTAACTTTATAGAATGGATTTTAAACCATTCAGTGCAGTTAACTTCTTACTACTGAGTGCTGCAAGTTGGTATAAACATTTTTGGTCAGAGTAAGAGACAAACCAAAGCGTGAGTCTAGCTCACAAGGTGGTTTTATCATGCCCCTGGGATTGCTGTCTTCACCTCTGGGTTAGGCTGTTGGACATACTGCTCTGTGAGTCCTGATCCATGATAAGGCTTGCAAAGTTTATTAATCTTATTTACATGGTGTGACCCACACACGTCCAGCCTGTTTTGGGCTGGCTAGAAAGAGAGGCTGTGAACTTATGGAAGTCAGCTCTCTACTTTCAGAGGAAGCCATTCCTTCAATCATTTCTACAGGTCTTTTCTATATGAAGACAAATCACTCATCCAAGCTGCAGGAATTTTTTTTCTCAAGTTGGGTGGAATTTTATTCGCTGCTATTGCTCTAACTAGCTGTAATGAAACATCACTAGTGATAAGCCTGTTTCAGCTCCTTAAAAGAAAAGAAAGAGAGAAAAAACAAAACAAAAAAAAACAAACCAAA